GTTTGGAATTACTTGACGGTCGTTGAGCTGTCCCAGCTGATTCAGTCAGTGGTGAAGTCAGCCGCAACTTCAGCCAACTACTCAAGCAGAGTTTGCGAAACTTGGTGATCTCAGCGCGCTTCAGGTATGGGGACACCAGTCCTCTCTGGAAATTTTTGCGAGCTTTTCCAGATCACGGGCCGCAGTAGACCTGGCGTCAGTGAAGCTTATTGCGAGATTGCTGAATCATTACTCACAAATTTGCGTAGGCCTATGAACCGCTGGACTAAGCACTTTCACTCTCAATTCAGTTAGCCTTCTGCTTCCAGCCGTCTAACAAATATACCTACTTTTACGTCTTCTAACGTTTCATTGGGACCACTCACCGAAGCGGAGGTCTATTTTTTTAGCTACGTCATTTGAAGGGTTTCGAGGCTATCTACTCAGACGGACTACTTCCGGAGCGACATAACTGTCAGCCAGTTAACAGCTTCGTTCTCTAAGATTTAGCGAGCAGTAATAATTCCATCGTTTTGGAACGAGTCGGATGTCGTCCCGGTCTCTGAAAAGCATGCCCATATCTCATGCACCAACCACCGAGAAATCAGCCTGATATCCGTCGCCTGTAGATTGTTAACATCCGTTCTACTGTACAGCAGGTTAACACCAATTCGCGAACTACACTCCCGTGAATAACCTGTTGGTTATACCGCTCCCGGTCGAGAATGAAGACCATATGTTTACACTACGCCAACTCCTCGTACAACGCCACCTTTTGATCGTTTTTCCGAGCTTGGTAAAGAGATCGCATACGTTTCACCACCATGCGAGGTGGCATCTTCAATGCGGTAATACGCAGTGTATAATGCTGCTTATTGAATTGTCAGTCCGTCATTCACCAAGCCGATATCAAATGCAAGCAAGAGGGTCGTTTTGCCGTATATGAAGAACATATCTGAAATGACTGCCAGATTGCTCAAGCAATACAACATCGTGGTCGCTCATAAGCCAACCGCCACTTTGAGAAGAATACTGTCAAACCCAAAGGACATTAGGAATGCGCAAGAACGAACAAACGTCGTGTATAAAATACATTGCAATAATTGTGAAATGAACTATGTGGGGCAGACAGGAAGGAAATTGCCCACACGAATACAAGAACATCAGAGGGCTTGTAAAACGCATTATGCATCATCTCTTGTCTCAGCGCATGTGGATGAGGAGGGACATAGCTTCAGTTGGAAAAAACGGTGATTTTAGCTCAAACAACAATACAGAAAGGAAGAGAATACCTAGAAGCATGGTACTCCTCTAATAATTCGATCAACATGCGCATCGACCTCGACCGCGTGTACCATCAACTCAGAAAGAAAGATATCCGGAGAATAACGTGGTTCAGCCGTGGAAGCAAATGGGCAGAGATCACGTGGCGCAAATCGAAATTGCCACCTTCAAAAGTCACCTGCCCGTCGATCACGGACTGACGATTCAATAAGCAGGACTGTGCACTTCATATCACCACACTGAAGATGCCACCTCGCATGGTGGTGAAACATATGCAATCCCTTTATCAAGTTCGGAAAAACGACCAACAGGTTAGCAACCAACCCGGGCTACCAGTGTTCCAAATTATTTCGAACGTCACCTTTGTTGCCAGTCACCCATTATCGCCCTTTTTGGGCATTCAAGCTGCATTCTACTCGGTCTAGCGGCCTGCTTTATGACGTTATGTGTAAAAGAATTGGGTACCCGAAAGCTACATCGCTATGGCCGTGTTTGACCACCGGTGATTGCGGTGTATTGCTTACATCTGGTGGGAACACCGGTGGTGTAATGCCGAGGTCCACTAAATTGGTTTTGGCAAGAAGCCTTCCGAATGTTTACTGACTCGTAGTTTGTTACGTTTGGTTAGGCAATGTCTTCCATATGCTCGTTGATCGGCTTCCTCGACGTGCATTATTCGCTGTGGCTGCACCAACTTGGATGCAACAGCGAAGTGGCCACTCCATGACTTGGTATAGTGGCATGAAGAAATTGACTGAGAGACTTGGTCAAGCTGGTGCTTGCCGTCTTCGTGGATGGGGGTCTCGGGATAGTTCACGTCAGTGTTTGTAGGCTCTACCGGACGTGACAGTTGCGCAGTCAGCGGCGTTCCTGAATCTGATTTATTGTACCTGGCTGCTAATTTTCGTTCCATTCTGATTAATTTACTGCACTTCCTTGTTGCTTCCATTTTCTTCACATTCTATTTGCATTTAATCCCACTATCTTGACGTTGTTATTCCTGCGCTGTGAGTCGTGGAAACCAGTTCCACCGCACTTCGGTAGGCAGATGATAGTTGTTCAACTGAACTGAAGTGAATATTGCCATTCTTCAAACTTTTTATGACAATGTGAAGGCTCACGACAGGCTCTCCTTACCGTTCACCGTCACTAGCAATGTGCGATAAGGATGCCGCATCTTGTTTCTTTTCAACCTTGTGATTGAGGATCTCCTATTAAACGCTCTGGAAGGTCTCCAGTGTTTTGGCGTAGAGCTTTTTTCTGGCAACCGCGCGACTATATTGGACTATGCTGACAACATTGTCTTGCTCGGTGACGACCCACAAATTATGCAGATCATTCTGAATCTCTTGGTGATTTGGGCTACCTTTGCCCCATCGAAGTGCAAACTCCTATTCCAGGATTGGCATTCACTTGCCCCATTGCTGATTCTTGATGCGTAGCTTGAACATAAAGATAACTTCATCTATTTTGGGCGCTGGGGTTTCTGCTCATGGTTCCATTGGATGAGAGATTTCTATCCCGTATTTCCGAAGCCCGATCAGCTATTGCTACTTCGATGTGACATTTGTGGCGTCATGATGATGTTTCACTCTCTCAGTTAAGGGACACTGTTTCCATGGAAGTGAGTCCTGGCCCATCCGTGCATCGAACCTCGGTCTTTGACAACGATTCTCGTCGGAGGATGATAGCTCGTGTGTGTTGTGTGTGTGTGATGGAAAAATCACCTTTGTAAGAACATTGTTAGACGTCTGGCTTTTCTCTCGACAAGCTAGTACCGCTGCGCCAACTGAGGTGGTTAGGTTACGTGCTGTGCGTGCCTTTTCTACGGTGCGCTATATTCGCTTGCGCAGAGCCACACTGGAAGAAATCACGAGGTTGTCAATCTACCAGATGGTCACAACATGTCAAGGCACTGACTACCAGTCCAGCTGTTGTCGGTCCCATACGTCTCTTGACTGGGAAGATTCCTGCGGAATTTTCATAGCCTGATTTAGTATCCCGCTCCGTGTACTTCCACACACTACCGTTCCACCATTCACATCGACTCTGGGTAGCTGGAACACCTGAATCTTGGCCACCAGCCGAGTGGCATCATACGTGGAACCTTCATGTCGCCTCACTCGGCGCCACATGATCGGCGTCAATTAGTCTGTTAACCAAACCGGAATCGAACAACCTGCCTTCGATTTCCGACTGCTTTTTATGTCCTTCCGATTCGCTTGCATCACTGTTTCTATCAATCACTTGTTGTTGGCCGGTGGCCAAAAGCATAAGACCCCCGTCCTAGAATCCAAAAGTCATCGATTCGAATCTGTGTGTACGCACCGGCGTCTTTGTAGCATACCTAGCCCACGCGCGACCGATGTTGGTCGTCGCGTGATTGCGAAGCATCTGCATACCTCTGATGCCCTCCTTACTACCTATTACCTTTTTTACTTATTTGCAAATCTCATGGTGGGTAGTTCCACTTGTTCTCCTATTGTTATATCTCGCGGTTCTTAGATAGTTATCTCGTCTTGTCAATGAACAACGGGTAAAAAAGCAGGTGCTTGACATGTCCCGTAGGGTGTTTAGCGTGATAAAAAAAGATAGCGAAGGCATAATGGAGTCGTCAGTTCGGGCGCTTGCAGATGTAACTGCACTGTCGTATAAAGGGAGTTTGAAATGAGAATGTACGCACACAAAGCAACAGGGGAGTGGTTATTGTTCATATCATAGGCGAGAAATATAAAAAATAGCAAGGACAACGCTTACTCGTGTGCAACTATCTTGGGTCCACAGGATACAGAAATCCAGTTTCTGTAGTAGTAGCGTTTATCAAATTTCGTGCAAGGCGTTTGGAGTGACTCATTCTCGAGTAGGGTTATGGCACTATCCCCTGTCTGTTGTGCATTAGTGTCAGCATCTGGTGGTCATGAGCTATAGCACGTAGTTTAAATGTGACAGGGTATCGTCAAGGCGTTTGTTTAAAAGGGATAGGGTGGGTGCATTAATTATATGTTCCGGGAAGCCGTTCCAAGGCTGTGCCACTCGAAGGGAGAAATAGTTTCGCCGACATTCCAGGCGGCTGTACTGCGTGACTAACTTAAACTGGTGACCTCTTAGCGAGGTGTTTTGACTGAGTATTAGAAGGGAATGGCATGGGTGGTTGGGGTTTCTCAGGATCAGGTACACCATTATGAGATCGCCCCTTAGACGCCGATAACGTCCACTGTATATTTTGAGGGTCTTCAGCCTGAGTGGGTAGGGGAGGCCGGTCAAACCTCCGACGCTCTTCGTTGCCCTACGTTGTGCAGTATCGAGCGCGGTGAGATGGTGCTTGAGCCAGAGTTGCCACGCTTGGATAGCGTATTCCGCGTGCGGCCTCACGTACGTACTAAGCATTTTTGGAAAGATCGAAGGGTCAAACTTCCCGAAGGATCTGCGAAGAAGGCCGAGGTACTGGTTCGCTTTCTTAGCTGCCTTTTCAGTCTGCCTCGAACAACCGAGATCATCGTGAACTAGCACGCCGAGATCGCACTCGTGAGAAGCCCGCTGTAGAATTTGTGGTCCTAGGCGGTAGTTGTGCATACTCTTATGTCGATGGGAATCGTTTGTTGGTTTTCATCTTGCTTACGTCCCCTTGTTGTTCCTCACATGATTTCAACTTTGTGGGGATGTTTCACTTTTCACTGTTTATCTTGCGATCGAATGTACACCAGTCAAACAGCTTACTTTTTACTTCTGTATTTTAGTCACCAATTGTCCTACACTGAGACTTTTCACCCCACTTCTAACGTCCGTCGAAGTCAAGCGATGCGGCACTGCTCCGGTCCGATGCAACTCTCGTGTGATCGGTCACCTGTCGACTGTGCGGCCGCGTTCAAATCCGAACGACGGCAATGGTCTGCGACTGCGCCCAAAAGCAATGTGTCTTCACATCCAAACCTGGCCACGGGTCGGCCACTCGCCCACTCACTGCAATTGCCACCCAGTCGTCAAAGCGTGGAGGATGATAATCATATCGGCGGCTCCGCTGTGATCACCAATCCCCCTTACAACACCTTCGACCCCCACGCATCGATTAATTATTCTCCGAATGCGCATATTCATTCCACACCAAGTCCTCACGGGAATGCAGCCAACTTTCGTTCACACAACTTTTTCCCTCAGGACTTTTACAATCATCCTACCAATCCTCTCCCGTCCGGTGTTGGAGCAGCCAACTCGGAAAACACGGAATTGATGACAGCTTCACAACTTGCTCCCCTCGTAGTGCCCAGAGTTCCCCCCACAAGTATTGATTGGCGCAGGTACGTTTGTCGTCGAATTTTTCACGAATTCAGCTTCATCGTTCGCCTACCGTTTCATGTGACGTATCGACTATCCCTCCCCCCCCGGTTTGTCTGCAAACCGATTTAGGGTTGTTCTGCCTGCTTATTCCAGTCCTCTACTCAGCCTCATAATCTGATGCAATTATACCTGCACAGTACGACAAATTTTCGGAGACCAGTGTTTGATGCACTGGGATCAAAAGCCATGATCTTTCTTCACAAGCACACCGGCTTGATAATATACATAACCAAATGTACAAATGATCCGTTTGCCATACTTGTCCTTGGTCGCCTGCCCCCAGACAGAAGTTGACTTGGCGACGTGAAATGAAGTCATTGACGACCATACTGGGTGCCGTTGGTCCATCTCGCCTTCCGGGCTGGAGTCCACGTGGCTCGCCTTGTGTTTCTATCGAGACATTACAGGACATGGCTCGCGACCGGCCGGTGGCCGAGTAGTCTGCACGTTTGCTTTGCAACCATAAGGTCACCGGTTCGAATCCGCGTAGGGGTGCGCGTCCTCGCGGTATACTCAGCCCGCGCGCGACTGGTGGTGGTCGCGCAGCAGCGAAGCGCCGTTACGGCCTACAGCTGACACATTTACATTTCGCGACCGACACCAATGGCGCATCTGCTGCCGTCTCCTAATCGGATTGTCTGTTTAAAGTGTGTTTGGTGTTGAGTTATCTTCGGGGCAAAGGCTGATTATGACGCGTGGCACTGAAAGCCGCGAGGAAGCTGTCTCGCTGATTCCGCCTTATCTTTACACGATAGCCAGCTGTTTGTGACGGTATGTTGTTAACACAAGGTGTAGGCGCCTTGACCCTGAATGTTTGCTTAGGGCATTAAGGTTTTCAAGTAAGTCCCCCTTCTCTCCCTCTTTTAATTCTTTATTTCATAGGTCCTCGCGGTTGTATGGCAGCGAAGCATCAGTTCAAATGGCTGATGTACTGCTGTTGATGATGATGATGCCTGCCCCCATTCAATGGGAGTTAACTTCATTAGAAACATTTGGCTGAAATGCAGCACTCAACTGTTCCATTCAACCCATACTGTGAATCTCTGTAGCCTCGTCATTCTACCTCTGGCTGCAACTACAAGCTGGTTTATGCTGCGTTTTCTCCTATTAATGCTGCTAGACTTAGTTCTCAGCTGGACAGATCCTCACTTTACCTCTTCTGTCTCCACTATTCTCGGATGTCTGGTCTTTATTATCTGTATAAGGGTGGCTACAAAGTCCCCGGACACCACGTTTATGCATATACCTACCTAAATCAGTGTATAAATGTAACAAAAAAGTTGTACATGATACTTGTCTAGGAAAAGAAGGGTTCTTCGCTAATACATGAAATTTATTGAAACAAACATATGCTAGCCTATGATCACACTGTCATAGATCCAATGTGTCTGTGTGTTCACCGTCATTCTCAACACCTAGACGAATGCGTCTCCAAGTGCGTGCTGAGATGCGTTGCAGAACATCAGGGGAAATCGAGTTCAATGAAGCACGGATTGCAACTTTAAGTTTTTCTGTGTTCTTGTAACTTGTTTTTCTGATGTCTTCTTTCATCATGCTCCACAAGGCATTGTCGCATGATGAGAGGTCAGGACTGCGAGCTGACCATTGATGCTATGATCGACGTCCAATCCACTGGCTAGGGAAATTCTCATCCAGGAACCGGCGCACCGAGATAGCAAAATGTGCGAGAGCACCATCTTGTTGCAGAATGGCTACATGCATGATTCCAGTTGAAACCAATTGTGGAATGAACCAGGTCTCCAACACTTCTCGGTAGGTGAACTGATTCACGGAGTTTGCGGGAAAAAATGGTTCAATGATTTTGGTGGCTGACATTGCCGCCCACATCATGACGTGCGATAGGTTGTGGGCGATTTCTTCAGCATAGTATGGGTCATTCTTGCTCCGAATGTAAACATTTCATGATTCTGAGCTGAGATAGACAGCGCATTCATCACTAAAGAAGACAAAGTGACGACTGCTTTTTTGGGGGAATTCCTGCAGAAGGTGTTGACACGCTTCCATTCGATTCTGTCGATCAATATCAGACAGTTCACTGACCTACATTGGCCTGAATGCTGACATGTCTAGGTTAGTTTTGAATACTTTTTGGCATGTGGTGCGGGGATTACGCAAGTCAGCAGACCTCTTACGATTCGATTTCTTTGGAGACTTGCAAACTGACTGCTGAATGATTTCCACGTGCTCCATTCGGGATGCAGGGCGGCGTCCAGAGCGCGGGGCATCCAACACAGATTCAGATGCACATGTTTTCTTCTCCCATATCAATAATGTGTCCTTTTTTGGTCCAAGCTTCTTGAAACGCTCCTGGAACTTGGTAGAAACGTCAGCCATTGTGCTTTTTTCTAGAACTCGATCATGTACCCAAACAGCAGCTATGAGTCTTTCTTCAATAGTGTAGGGACTTGTGTCGGTCATTTCTCGGATATATGCCTGAAAATAGATAGGCAGAGGTAGTGTACATATATGCTATAATTATTATGATAAATGTGCAAATATTAAATAATAGCTGGTATTGCAAATAACATCAGTTACGAACAATGACCAGGGACTTCGTGGCCACCCTGTACATAGGTTCTCTGAGAGACCCACCTTATGCATGTACTGGGACCTCTGTTCCTGTTGAGTTGCTGTACTCAGTCAAGTTGCAACTATTGGACGATGATCTCTCCGGATCATAGTGAAGGCGCAGCATCGAACACTTTGGAGATTACTGCTTAATTTTTCAGCGAATTTAACTTGTTATTAATAATTTTCTTTCCACTTCGCTTTCTCAGAGAAGCTTCTTTTGACTCACTTTGATCACCTGGTCATCAGTTAAAGATAACAAGCCAGTGCAAGGTGTTCGGCCCGTCAATAGCAATTTTCTCGAATCTGACCATGCACTTGAATTCGTCTGTATAGTGTCCGTTTTGCGGAGGTGCAATAACAGTTTTAATTGCTGTCGAACGGGATAGGAGAAACCGCTGATTGGTTCCTTTTGCTTTCAATATGCTGTGCACGATGCACTGGAAGTCTAGTGTCCACCCAGCTCAACGCATCCGATTAGTCGATGGAACTGCGCAGCATCGATTAGCCTACCTGAAGCACGTAGGACCTTTCTGTCGCAATATTAGTTTCAGAGTGTTCATAACACCCTAGAACTTCACCTAGGAGTATTGGCGGTTAAAGGCAAGTATTTGGAGATGACCAGGGTCTTCAACGCAGGGGCTTGCGTCACCGAAAAAATGCCATAGGGTCTACGCAATGCTGCCGTGAGTAAAACAAAACGCTCCAATTCAAGTTCAGTTGGGACTGGATCGATAGGATGTATCCCGTAAGTTGTCTTTCTTGAGCGGGTCATTGATCCAGGACCTGATAGGGGTGCTCCGACTTCTTGATGCATCTAAAACGAAAACACCCTGGTCCACCAATTTAATGCCCACGTTCCTTACATTAGCTGTCCCTGCTATGCCAGTTACGTGAAGTAGGAGAGGAAAAAAATCGAAGATAAAGTGTAAGTGAAATAAGTTAAAAGAAGAGAATAATACCAATGGTGAGGGAAACTACAGAAAATAGAATCGAAGTATGAAGATGGAAATTGTTCAGGAAAACGGAAAGGTTTCGTGTTGCCACCCAAGAGCATCCAGTTGACACTCAAACCCCTTAACCTTAGCTTCTTTGATAACATTTTCTGGAAGCAGGTTCCAGCGCTCGATGACTCGACGTGATAACTGTGTCTCTGCTCTAACTCGATCGGACCGCGGTTTGTCCAGCTTCATACAATGCCTGCGGAGACCAGATAATCTAGCAGGACTAAATAGCATGGACAAATCAGGCCCAACCTTCCCAGTCAATACGGTAGGTTAGGATTAGGTCCCCTCTAATCCTTCAATAGTGCATAAACTGCATCCCCAAACTAAGTAGGTACGTTTGCCCTCGTAATCCCTTGACCAACCTAGTACCGACACGCAACACCCTCTCTAGTGCCATTTTGTCCCGGACAAGACATAGTGGACAGGCCTGGACGCAATATTCTAGGTGGGGTCGCACAAACGCTGAGAAGGGCTTCACCAACACATTGGCGGTTAGGGTCCCGAAAGAACGACGGATAAACCACAACATCCGGAACCTTTTACTAGCCGCCTTCTTCTAGTTGTCTCCATAGTTTAGTGTGGAACAGTGGACGACACCTAGATCAACCTGATGAGTCACGCGACGAAGTTCACTCCCATCTAGCACACAACTCGTGGAGGAATCAGACGCTCCAATACGCAGCACTGAACACTTTGCCTGGTTTATGGGCAGCAACCACAAGACAGACCATTCCCAAAGTCTATCCAGCGCCCGTTGAAAAACCACAGGACCTCCAGGGATATCAACAATATTCCAGAGCTTTAGGTCATCAGCAAATAAGAGCGATGGTACTTCAAGCTTCTCCGACAAGTTATTCACCTAGACTGAGAACAGCAGCGGACCTAAGACAGAGCCTTGCGGAACGCCGCTAAGGACAGATTGTCGAAACGAAAGACTGCTTCCCACACGAATACACTGTTCCCGTCCATCCAGAAAAGCTAACACCCACTGGAGAGCGCGATAAGATATTCCATAAGACCTCAACTTCAATGAGAGTCGCGAATGGCGGACAGTGTCAAAGGTCTTGGCGAAGTCAATGAACACCAAATCCACCACATGTCCACTGTCTACTGCTTCAGCCCAGCTCTCACGAGCTACCAGCAAGTTCGTTTGACACGAAAATCCTTTGCGTAAACCATGTTGTTCGACGCTAAGCAGGTTAAACATATTCAAATGGTTTTCCACTATTTCTCGTACTAATTTTTCAAGTATCTTAACGACCACGCTAGTCAAGCTGACAGGCCTGTAATTAGCCGGTAGGTCTTTGTCACCGCACTTGAAAATCGGGCAGACAACAGCCTCCTTCCATTCGGTAGGTAAGACA